TTTTTATTTTACTTCTATTGTATTTTCTTATTCATTTTCTAAATTATAATCGCTTTTTTGATAGCAACATAAGAAACAAACTGGAAAACTTTTTGATATCGAGATTAAATATGCATCCAATTTAATCTTTGTTGGGACAACTGCACAAAATAAGAGAAACGCAGTGGCGTAGCCAGGATTTTTAAATGGAGGGGGGGCTAACCACTTTTTTGGATAAGTAAGGTAAGAGAGGATATGAGAATTTACCCTTAACCCCCCCACCATCTACCACCAAGTTTCTAAACGTAATTCAAGCATTTTAGTATAGTTTTAAAAATATTTATTAATATATAATTTATAATAATAATAATAATTATTTTGGTTTCAGTGTTCAGTCACTTGCTCCACTCTGACAGCTGCATTCTCTTAGGCGAATTTCTGGAAAATTCAGTTATTATTTCACTTTCATTGAAATGCTCTTTTTTATTTATATTAGCCATAGCTAACCCATTCAGTTTGTTTTCCGACATGTTGCTTCTTAAAAAAAATGTTAAGCGATTAAGTGCTGAAAACGTTTTTTCCGGAGTGAAAGAGGTAACTGGTAACGCGACGAATAATTGTAAAAGTATTTTAATGTTAGATCGAAGATTGGTGCGATGAGAGAGTGAATCAAGAGCAGAATTCGGTTTTGGAATAGTATTTTGACTCTATTGTTGCCTCCATATGAACAGGTCAGCTCTGATTGTAGATGAAGTATCATCATGGAGATCTTGGACATATATTTTAGCAGCTTTTATAATATTTTTATCGTCATACATATTTAAATTGGCCGGAATAAGTCCTTCAAGTGACATAACATCAATAAGCCTTTGATTAAAACGAGCATCCATTGATTCTATTAAATAGTCAAGATACATTATACATATAAACACGGCCCATGGGGGGGCTATAGCCCCCTTAGCCCCCCCTTGGCTACACCACTGAATACAAGTATATCATATTAATGAATATTTTATATTTTTTCAAAAACCTCCCCGAAATTTTTTTCTGCGTTCGTCCCTGGTACCCGGACTTTAAAATATATCTTCTAAATTATTGCAATGGTTTTAAGAAAGGGCTATTTTGTCACTAACAAATGAGTAAGTCGAAAAGTTAAATGGTTTAATTCTATCTAGGTTTGACGCATAATTACACATATACTATTCAGTTGATACAGTTTTAGAAAAAAAGAATGTAGTTCATTTCCCTACTGAATTTCTTAATTCTTTTAACACTTTTTGGAGTTCCACCTCATAAATTGATTTTAAAAATAGGGTCACCTACTTTTTTAATGAAAAGTTTGAGTCCACCCACACTTTGCAACGGTACAAGACTATAAATCAAAAAATTGAGAAGTTTATGCTCGAGTACATAGATAATCTTAACGGGCTATGGTACTGGAAAAACTGTTTTATTATCAAAAATACCAATTGTACCCTTAGATATACCTTTTCAGTTTAAACGTATTCAATTTCTCATTAAATTAGCATTTGCAATGACTTTAAATAAAGCACAGGGACAAACACTTAATGTTGCTGGAATTGACTTAAGTGTTCTTTTTCGCATGGTCAACTGTACATTGCCCTGGCACGTGTGACATCCAAATATAATTTGTATATTTATGTCCCCGATCTAGAAAACGTTGGTAATGTCGTTTACAAAGACATTTTTTAAATCTTTAAACATTGTCAAATAGCATAATTTCTTATAAATCTTGCAATAGCGAAGCATTTCCGGGTCAGCTAGTTTATTTATACAATTTAGTTTACATAGAAAATTGTGAAAATTTTTAAAACTAAAACATTTTGTGTCAGACATAAGTAAGGAGGTGTGGATGACTTTGCCCTCCACAGATCACCTTGAGATAAATAATTTTAGCACTCCCGTTTAGGACTGAATTTGCGCCTGATAAGCGAATTATGACAATTTCACTTCATGGAATATTTCCATAGCCTAATCAAATAGAGATTTGGGAAATCCCAAATTATAGTTAGATTTCTATAATACACATCAAAACATAAATGAATTTAATAAACTATTTATAGCTTAAAGTTGTCTCCTTTTCCTGCTTGAAAAAATGCATAATCATGCCATTTAATTGCATACATTTTTCTAACATTGGTGTTTTTAAATATTATTTATATCAATTATTTATAGGTATTTATTTATTACAAAACAATGATTTAATAACTGAATTGTAATGAATCTAAAGCAGTGGTTCTCAACCTGGGGGGCGTGCCCCTAGGGTGGCGTGATAAAATTTCAGGGGGAGGCGTGAAAATGTTGAAAAAAAAACACCAAAAATGAAAACGTTGCCGTTTTCTACGCTGTGCCTTGCCGCTGTGCTGGTCGCCGCCGTGGTCGATTTTTTTTTATGCAAATAAATTAATTTAATATTAAAAAAACTTCATTGAAGTTATATTCTTTTTAATCCAATAACCAACGTTAAAGCAGGGATTAGTACCTTTAAGTTTTTACGGTTCTGGTTATTGAAAAATACCAAATAAGGGTTTGAGTTCGGGTTCTAAATAAAATATTTTAATATTTATTCCGTAGTATTTTTTGATGCATATTTAAAAATTATATATATGTTACCGGTGTTATAGCATTATACTAAGTAATATGGCATAATATACTCGTATGTGTCTCAAAATATCTATCTTCAACTAATTTATATATATATATATATATATATCGCAATAAGTTTTTTTTTACAGCTATATAGTAATGTATAATATTATAGTACTATAATAAAGCAAATAAATAAAAAAATAGATGTGCAAAATAAAATTTCATTTTTGAATTTATTGTGTTGTGATTCAAATTTGTATCTATAATAATAAATAATAATAATTTATTTGGTCAAAAACAGAGTTTGTACATGTTGAAGAACTGTAATATGTATAAATTAAATTAAGTTTTAACTATACATAATAGGATATGTTGCCCAATTCACCACTGAGATAACCCTCGCATTGGAGGTAAATTGGAGTATTAACCTGTTTAGCCTTTAGTCGTCCGTTTGTCAGCACATATTATTAAAAATTAAGATTAAGAATAACATTTTTAAAAAGCTTATATCTCAGAAATTGATTTATGCTTTGACATTTTAAGAATAAAAATATAATTAATAATGTTTGTTACATCCGATATTTTTCATTTAATTATGAGAGTTCCGGTTCGGGTTTCTGGTTATTTAAATATGTAAAAATTCTGTTCCAGTTCACTATATTTTAAGGGTTCTCGGGTTCCAGAACCGGTTCTTTTGGATTTGGTTCCAGCCCCTGCATTAAAGTATAGTTTACATATAAGTATTATGTATACATCAATCTTATAGTAGTGAGGGGGTGGGGCGTGAACTCTTAAAATAGTTTTAAAGGGGGCGCGGACCTCAAAAAGTTGAGAACCCATGATCTAAAGGAATCAAAAATATAAATATAGTTATCATTTTGTAAAAAATATAAAATTATGAATTTCAGCTTAAATTTTATTTATTAAAATAAAATAAACATTCTCATAGATTTCTCGAGAAAATTTAAATCCTTACATATTGTATTTTGTTTGTTAAATTGTCTAAATTATATTAGTCATAGTATAATATATATATATATATATATATATATATATATATATATATATATATA